CCGCTTGTGGACATCTCCCTTCCACTGCAGGTCCCAAATGAGGCGCTCATCGTTGTAAGCACGATAGCGCTCCGAGCCAATCGTCTCGGTGTTCACACCCGCATCTCCCAACCGGCCGGTAGAAATCAGGTTCGCGCACAAGTCCGGCACCCACAGCACATTCTTCAGCCCCACGAGCTCTCCATCCGCTCCCATGAACTTGGCGCATCCCATGCCCATGACCTTGGCCTTGGCGCCCGTCGCGGATTTGACCGTAGAGATAGGTGCGGGCTGAATCTCATCGAGTAGGTCCGCACGAGGAGTCATGTGCCAGGAGCTTCCCGAGTCAATCACCCAATGGGTGAGGGGGTGTAGGAGAACCTTGGCAGCCATAGCGAGGTCGGTTGCGCCTTCGTTCACGAAAAAGAAGAACCCGGCCTTCCGCTCCTCAGATTTGCCACCTTTCTCCTCCTCCTTCTCCTCTCCACTAGCTCCCATGACTCCCCCACTCCTCTTGCCACCATGCAGGTTGCTCAATGAAGGCGGGGTCCAATCCTTGGGTCGTTGGTAGCACTTCCGCCAACGATGTCCGCGCTTCTTGCAGTAGAAGCACACCTCCCCTTGACCCCCGCCGCCATCCTCCTTAGGGTTGTCCTTGTTTTTGCCCTTCCACTTCTTCTTGAAGCCACTCTTTCCACCTCCAACTCCATAGCCAGCCCCTCCTCCGAGCGCTCCACACTCCGCCGCCGCAAGTCCTCCTCTAGGATGCGCGCGCGAATGTAATCCACGCTCCATTGGGGTTGTTGGGAGTTGAGGTTGATCGCTAGGGCAGACCAAGACTTCGGCAGCTGTATCAGGATCTCCAAGCATTGCACGAGCTCCGGGTACACCACACCGCCTCCTTGGAGCTTCGTGAAGATGTCCCGCATCTCATCCAACACCGGTTGCATCGGCTCTCCATCAACGAACTTGATGTCGCGCAGCCGCCGCGCGAGTAGCACGATGCCGGTAGCATGTGTCAGTGAGTGCACATCCAGAAGCTTCCTTCAAGCCTTGGGGCCACACTCTGGATCACCCAAGAGGTCCTTGATGTGGTCAAGTTGTCGTCCGCCAACCGCTTGCACCATGAGCATGTACGCATCGAACGATCGCTTCATCCACGCTCCTTTCAGCTCCGCGGCCTCCGGCATCTTCTCCTTCCCCTCCATCAGATCCAATAGCTTGTATTGGGTGTACATCAGCCTCATGCGGAAGCTCGAGTGCTCGTAGTCCTCCCCCATGAATTTCTCAATAGAAAACGCCTTCACGGGATCCACGGTTGTTGGAGATGGTGTAGTAGACGTAGGTAGCGTAGGGTTGGCTGGTTGGTGAGTCCCCACTCCTCCACCAGCAACTCCCCCCTGCTCTCCAGCCTCTCTACTTCTATCCATCTCGCCACTAGCACCTCCGGAGTTGGTACCAACCATATTGAGGCCTTATGAACGGTGGAAACTTGAGAAATCGTTTGGAGAGAATTCTGCCAGAAATTTTGATTCTACAAAAAACGCCGTCGCGGACTGAATACTTCGAATTAGAACGCGGTTTGACCACCAATCGAAATTTCGCAAGCAGAGCTACTAGAAAATGCTCTCACTCGACATCATTGGTTGAGAATTCACGACGATTCGTTGTCTCGAAGTCGACTACCCGCTCTGATACCACTTGTTGTTCAGGATCTGTCACTTTGAGAACTTACGACGAACTCATTACTCAACTAAACGAAAATCCGCTCGGTAGGGTAGTGCGCCTTAGACTTAGCTAAGGTCTCCAAGTTGAATCAGTTGTTAAGATGGTCTAGAGAGTGAGAACCATGTAAAAACGTCCAGCAGCCGCATCACTAGAATTGGTAGAGGAAGTACAAGCATGTAGGCGTAGGAAGTTGGAGTTGGGAACCTCCAAGAGAACCATGAGAGGGAAGGGGTTCTCCAAGAGCTAGGGAAGGATAGTAGGAACCTTCCTAGCAGCAAGGATGCAACCCTCATCATGAGGTCCTTGAGGTGTCACATGCAAAATCCAATCTAGTTGGATTTTGCCTAGGTGTTGCAACATTTGCAACCCATGCTAGAAACTTCTAGCCACCCCAATCCAAAAGTCAAAGTTGCCTTCCCTAACCACCCAACCAAAGATCCCTTTATAGTCATGTCCCAAGTAATCACCCAAATTAGATATAACCCCAAAAGGTAATAAGAAATCCAAGTCTTGGAAATCTTGGAAATCCAAGTCTTTGAAATCCAAGGCCGATGGCACCATCGACAAATTCAAAGCACGCTGGGTTGTTCGTGGCTTTGACCAAGAGCACGGCCGCGACTTCACCGAAACATTTGCTCCAGTCAGCCGACACACCTCGCTACGCATCCTTCTCGCGATCGCCGCCATGAAGAAGAAGAAGCTAAGGCAAATCGACGACGCTAATGCATTCCTCTACGCACCCGTCCTCGTCGAGCTACCACACGGCTCCAGCACGGACTCGAAACACGTCTATCAACTACTCAAGTCACTCTACGGCATCAAGCAAGCTCCGCGACTATGGCAACAATACCTACGCGCTCGCCTCATTCGCATCGGCTTCAAGCAACTACCGCACGACCAGGGCATTTACCGGCTCTCGAAGGGTATCGACTACGTCCTGCTAATCGTCTATGTAGACGACCTACTCTACATTGGCTCAACTGAAGGCATTACAACCTGGTTCGAAGGGGAGCTACAGCAAGACCTCACACTGACGGTCTCACCTACCTTCACAAAGTACCTCGGCCTCAACATCCCAGAAGAAGAAGACGCTATCTACCTCAGCGCCGCGAAATACGCCGACACCATCGCCAAGCGTTTCGCACTCACACCAACAGCTATCTCCACACCGTACCGCTACACGACAGTAAGCAACAAGGAAGGCTCCGCTCTACTCAAGCTCGACGGCATCCGCGACTACCAGAGAAAGCTGGGCTGCCTTCTCTTCGCAGCTGTCACCTGCCGCCCAGATCTATCCTACTCTGCAAGCCAGCTCGCCACCTACCTCAAGAGGCCTGAAGCGGAACATCTGGCGGAGCTCGACCGCGCTCTTCACTACCTTGTCAGTACCCCGACGGTCGGACTGACTTATCATAAGAACGCAACTACAATGCCTAAGCTAATCGGCTACGTCGACGTAGACCATGCAGGCGACCCCGACAACAGGTGATCACGCACCGGCTACATCTATTGTCTCGAACCTATGGGGCCTATCTCCTGGCAATCGAGCAAGCAAGAACTAATTGTTCTCTTGTCAGCTAAAGCACAATATATTGCACTCTGCTCAGCCACCAAGGAAGGACTCTATCTTCGCGAGCTGCTGGAAGAAGCGAAGTTAGCCGAGTTACACAACTTCACCCTGTTCTACGACAACCAGTCGGCAATTTGCATCGCCAACAAGAACGGCTTCGCAAACAGAACGAAACACATCGCCCTATGATATTTCTTCGTGAAGGATGAGATCAAGAAAGGAAGGCTTGAACTGTCATACTGCCCCACGTCAGAGATGGCAGCTGATTACCTGACCAAGAAGCTCGGAAAGCAGAAGTTCGAATATTGCATGCTGCTGACTGGACAGAGCCACGTGAGCGACACTCCAAAAGCAAAGGGGAGTGTTGGAGACAATCGTTCCTAAGCGCCTCTGTCGTGTCAAAACACTAAGGCACAAGCGAAGCAGAGCATATCGAGGCACCAGCAAGTCAACCCTCGGAGGTTGAAGTAACCGCTGGAGGTTACGCGAAAGTCAAAGGTCAGCGACCTTTGACCTGACAAATGCAGCGCGACAGCAAGGACACACAACTGACTCGTTACAGAGCAGTTGCCCGAGTCGTCACTGTATCGAACCGCAACAGCAACAGTAAAGTAATTATAACTGTGTCTCTTCATATTCTCTGTATTCATATATAATCTTGTATCTCTTTGCTTTAATCAATTCACTTTGCCCTCACATACTAGCGCAAGGCGGTTCACAAACTCTTTATTAGACGCTTCCGCTACAGCATCAACTCTACCCAAAATTTACCTCTGCAAAGATCCTAAGGGCTTTTTCAGCCCAACATTCTTGACCTTGCTTGTACTGTGATCTTTCTATACCTGCACTTGCTTGTTTACCTTTATATATGATCTTGCATGTGAACTGGCCTTGTGGCCTTGAACTTGTGCTCGGAATGTGTGGTGACGTTGTGATCCATCCTGAGCTTGCTTTTCTTTGCTTGAGTGGTCTTTTGACCTCTTGTTCTCCCCCACAGGATCGACCCAAAGGGATCGACCTGCTCTGATAGCATGTCAAAAATAAGAAGTAGAAAGTGAGAATGAAGAAAGAGGGGGTTCACTAGCAAGCAGTTGGATACAAATAGCAAACCCTAACTGGGTTGTACTCGCTATGGAGCACCCCACTGCAGGCTAGATAACATAATATTCTGACACTTACCCTACGCGGCCCCTTCGCCGCCCCTAAGCGGCCCCGCTGCCGCCCCTAAGCGGCCCCGTTGCCACCCCAATGCGGCCCTATTGCCACCTCTACACGGCCCTTTCGCCGCCCCTAGCGGCCCCGTCGCCGCCCCCCCCTTCCTACGCGGCCCCGTCGCCGCCACTACACGGCCCCGTTGCAGCTCCTCTCCCTACGCGGCCCCGTCGCCGCCCCTAGCGGCCCTAGCGCCGCCTCTAGCGAGCAGCCCAGTAGCAGAGCCAGCGAGCTGCCCAGCAGTCGAGCCGTCGAGCCGCCGTGCCGCCCAGCAACTGAGCCGCCGAGCCGCCCGACAGCCGAGCCTCCCAGCAGCCAAGCCGCCAAACCGCCTGACAACCGAGCCGCCTAGTAGCCGAGCCGCCGAGCCGCCCGACAGCCAAGCCGCCCGACAGCCGAGCCGCCCAGTAGCCGAGCCGCCCTGCCGTCGAGCCGCTACTAGTCCTACCGTCGCGCCCCGGCCCTACTTACTCGGACTGGTGAGCTCACTCCTTACTAGGCCACTGCATTCATGGCTACCCCAAGTGTTCTTACCTTTGATACTGAGGGTCGTGCTGTTGACTTTGAGGTCTGGGTAGATGACCTCCAGCTGTTCCTCAAGTGCGATAGGGCAGATAGCCTCTCCCTGTTCGACCTCACCTCTGGTGCCTCCCCTGCCCCGCCTGCTACTGCTGTCAGCACTGTTCGCTCACAGTGGGCGACACGTGATGAAGCTACCCGTCTTGCTGTGAGTCGCCACTTACCGACCACTGAGCGTGCGCACTTTAGCCAGTACAAGAGTGCTCAGACCTTGTACGACGCTGTAGTTGCACGCTACTCTTCCCCTGCCACTGCTGCACTGAGCCGCCTCATGCTGCCGTACCTCTTCCCTGACCTTGCTACCTTTCCCACAATCGCTGATCTCATTAAGCACCTCCGCACTAGTGACACTCGCTATCGCGCTGCGCTTCCTGCTGCGTTCTGCGCCAAGAACCCCCCCCCCCCATGTACATCACCCTCTACTACATAGTCACCCGACTCCCTGACTCTCTTCGCTTAGTCAGGGACCACTTCCTCTCTGTTTGCCCCACCACTCTCACCGTTGACCTCCTCAAGGAGCGCCTCCTAACAGCAGAGAAGAGCATAGTCTCTGTACGAGCCTCTCGTGGTGACCCTCGCACCCCCGCCTTTGAGGTGTGTTCCCCCGTCCCCCTCTTGCCCTCTGTTGCTTCTGCTGCTGCTGCCGACCTTGTTGGTTTCTACGGGGTCGGCGCTGCGTCTGCCTCTAGCAGGAGACGCCGCACCGGCAAGGGCAAGGGGGGCAAGGGAGCTAGAGGGGCTGGCGGGGGCAGTGGAGGTGGTGGTGGAGGCAGTGGAGGGGGTGGGGGTGGTGGTGTGAGTGGTGGCGGGGCTGGCAGCAAGGTGGCAGCAGTGGAGGCGGAGGAGGCGGCGCTGGTGGCGGAGGGAGCGGAGGCGGCGGAGGTAGTGGAGGCGGCGGAGGTGGCGGAGGCCGCGGAGGCGGCGGCGACGGTGGAGCTGGTCGCGACTCTGCGCAGAGGAGTGGGTCCGGTGGTGGTCCGCCCCAGCACCAGCAGCGCGGTCGTGAGACCCTATCCCCTCAGCAGCTTCGTGAGTGGTACACTGCACGTCCATGATGCATGCGGCTGCCCCCCATTTTCTGTGGCCGTTTGCGGTTCAGTACGCAGCGCATCAGCTCAACCTTCACCCCCGAGTCTCCTTGCCAGAGACCTCCCCCACCCTGCGGTGGACGGGGAAGGTTGGCGATGCGTCTGCGTTTCGGGTCTGGGGATCTCAGGCGTTTGTCCGCGACTTGTCTACGGACAAGCTGTCCCCTCGTGCGGTTCCCTGCATCTTCCTTGGCTTCCCCCCTGACGCGCCTGGTTGGCAGTTTTACCACCCCACTTCGTGCCATGTTCTGTCCTCCCAGGACGTCACCTTTGACGAGTCGGTACCTTACTACCGTCTCTTCCCCTACCGCACTGCGCCCCTTCCCCTGACGCCGCTCTTCCTTGCGCCTAGTCCTCCCTCCTTAGACCCCCTCCCCCCTCAGGGTCTTGCCGTGTCAGGTGTGTCCCAGGTAGACGCAGTCGAGCTTGTCGAGGCAGCTGTTGACTCTGATGGTGTTAGAGCTGCTGAGCCTGCAAGTGCCAGCTCTCGAGGTGCTGCGTCTGGGGGTGCTGAGCCTGGAGGTGCTGAGTCTGGGGGTGCTGAGCTTGGGGGTGCTGAGTCTGGGGGTGCGGAGCCTGGGGGCGCGGAGCCTGGGGGTGCTGGGTCTGCTCGTGTGGCCGCCGGCGGTGCTTCGTCGAGGCAGGAGCTACTCTCTCCACAGGAGCTGCGCGAGTGGTTTGCCCGGCGCTCGAGCCGTGCTTCTGGAGCTGGAGGTACTACTTTTGCTGCTGGTTCCGGAGGTGCTCGTATTGGCGGTACTGGAGCAACTGGGACTGGGGGTGCTAGTGGGGCTGCTGGAGGTCCTGCTGGAGCTGCTGGCGGTATTGGAGCTGCCAGTCCTACTGGAGCAGTTGGAGCTAGAGCTGCTGGGGGTGTTGGCGCTGGTGGTGCAACTGGCCCTGGTCTATCTGAGGGTGCTAGTGTTGGCGCTGTTGCAGCTGGAGGTGCTGTTGGCGCTGGTGCTGCCGCTGGGGGTACAGGTGCTGTCCCTCCTGGTTTTGGAGGCGCAGCGCGGCCGCGCGCGTACTTTGTTCCGCTCCTTGAGTAGGTTCTTGGTCTCCCACCCTCTACTGGTCATGCTCCTCCCTTAGCGTGTCCACAGCCTGTCCGGTAGCAGTCACAGTTACTGCCCCCCTCCCCCCTACGTGCTCCTTCTCCCTATACTGGTCCTACTGGAGGTCTTGCTGAGCGTCGTGAACCTGCGTCTTGTCCTGCGTCGCCTGTTCGTGCTGCTCGCACTAGTGGTTGTACTGCACGTCCGCGTCCTCCTGCGGTCCCAGGCACATACCAGATGGCACAGCGTCCTTCCACTGCTCCTTTGCGTGTCCTGTTGCCGTCTCCTCCAGAGTCCTCTCTTCCTACTCTTGCTGACCCAGAGTCTAACTCTTTTCGTGCTGCCAATCCTTCGGTCATGCGTCTCCTAACTACTATTGTCACTGACCCTTCCTTTGAGTCCACTGCTGCATCTGCCCTAGTTGCTGAGCTTGTCGACTTCGCTGCTCGCTGTCGTCTAGACTAGCTGCTAGACTGGTTGCTGAGTCTGAGTCTGTCTGTCCTCCGTCCGTCGGGGGTGAGTGTGCTCTTAGCATGGACATCCTTGAGGACAGGCAGGAGGAGCTCTAGTGCTGTGCTGCTACTTTGCCCCATCTCGTGTCCACGCTGATTGCCCCTGAGGGAGACCCGGATGCACCAGACATCCCGACTCCACGATCGTACGCTGAGGCGATCGACGATCCCTACTCCTCTCAGTGGCAGTCGGCCATGGACGCAGAGATGGCTTCTTGGAAGTCCACAGGCACCTACGTCGACGAGGTTCCCCCACCTGGGGCGAACATCGTCAGTGGCATGTGGATTTTCAGGGTGAAGCGGCCGCCGGGTTCTCCGCCTGTCTTCAAGGCGCGTTACGTGGCTCGAGGCTCAGTCAACGGCAGGGAGTTGACTACTTTTAGTCCTTCTCTCCCACCCCAAAGATGACCACTCTTCGGGTGCTGCTGCACATAGCTGCTCAGCGCGCCTACGAGCTTCACTCTCTTGACTTCTGCACAGCTTTCCTGCAGGGCAGCCTGCACGAGGAGATCTGGCTACACCGCCCACCTGGCTTCACTGGGTCGTTCCCTCCTGGTACCCAGTGGAGCCTCCGGCGGCCAGTCTACGGTCTTCGCCAGGCGCCCCATGAGTGGCACGACACACTGAGGACTACACTTGCGGCTCTTGGCTTTGCTCCTTCTACTGCCGACCCGTCGCTATTTCTGCGCACCGACACCTCTTTGCCGCCGCTCTACATCCTCGTGTACGTCGACGACTTGGTCTTTGCCACAGCTGAGACTGCTGGACTCGCCCACGTGAAGTCCGAGCTGCAGAAGAGACACACGTGCACAGACCTGGGTGAGCTGCGCAGCTACCTTGGCTTGCAGATCACCCGGGACAGAGCACAGCGCACCATTACCTTGACTTAGTCACACATGGTGCAGCAGGTCCTTCAGCGCTTCGACTTCACGTACTCCTCGCCTCAGGCCACTCCTTTGTCTACTCGCCACTCGTTCTCAGCTCTGCCTTCGGATGAGTCCGTAGAGCCGAGTGGCCCGTACCCAGAGCTTGTTGGTTGCCTCATCTACCTGATGACCTGCTCACGACCTGACCTTGCATACCCTCTTAGCATCTTGGCACGCTTTGTTGCTCCTTGGAGACACCGACCAGAGCACATGGCTGCAGCAAAGAGGGTGTTGCGCTACTTGTGCAGTACGTCGGGCATGGGGCTAGTGCTTGGAGGGCGACGTCGAGTGGTCCTCACAGGTCACGCTGACGCTTCTTGGGCTGAGGACCAAGCTGCACAACAGTCGTCACACGGTTACACCTTCGCGGGGGCCATGGCTGCACAGGAGCTACGCTGGCTCACCTACCTGCTGACTGACCTAGGAGAGCCGCCTCGTTCTCCTCCAGTTCTGTACGTATACAACAAGGCCATGCTGGCCTTGTGTCGGGAGCACAGACTGGAGCACAGAACGAAGCACATTGCTCTTCGCTACTTCCTTGCTCGTGAGCTGCAGCAGCGTGGTCAGTTGCGCCTTGCTTACGTGGCCTCTGAGGCCAACACTGTTGATATCTTTTCCAAGGCACTTCCGCCTTGTGATCATCAGCGCTTCTGTACGATGCTATGTCTTGTGCCTTTTTGGCCTCACTTGCTCACTTCTTGACTTTGCTTGTACTGTGATCTTTCTATACCTGCACTTGCTTGTTTACCTTTATATATGATCTTGCATGTGAACTGGCCTTGTGGCCTTGAACTTGTGCTCGAAATGTGTGGTGACGTTGTGATCCACCCTGAGCTTGCTTTGCTTTGCTTGACTGGTCTTGTGACCTCTTGTTCTCCCCCACTTTGCCTATGGGGGTGTGTCAAACTTATATGCTATAGCTTGTGTAGGCTGTAGTGGGGTAGACAATGTGGGGTACAACATTTCTAGGTTTCCCTAGTTGTACCCACCTTTTTGCTAATTCATTCATTTCTCATTCTTCACAAGTTCATCTGGAGTGAGGCGGCTTATCTGTGTAGCATGGAGTAGCGGAATAGGAGATGGAGTTGTGTCTGTACCTATCTGGAGTAATTTCGCAGAGCAATGCAATTACATCGTCACCATCATCACTTGCCCGTGGATATTAAGGGGCCTATCACATGTTACGAATGGGTAAATACACCACACTCACCTTCAGCGTCCTTGTATGTCAACGGCCTCGGCTGCTTGCAAAAGCAGCATGACGTTGGGGACTAGATATCGCAGGCAGCCCACATAGCCATTCTGGCTGACATGCGGATCCCAGTGGATCACAACTTTTGGAGTCAACTGAGAGCGGACACGGTAGTGGCAGCCACACCATCGGTGAGGGCTGGAGGAGTGGCGATAGTCATACGAAACAGCGAGGTGTCCTGTATCGACGAAGTCTGCGACGCGTCTGGGCGGTTGGCGCGTGCAACTCTGTCGTGGAGAGGCGTGGTGCTAACGGTGGTCGCAGCGTACTTCCCGTCGAGCCCAACGGCGAGAGCTACTTTCTTCCGGGACGTGCTCCAGCCGCTCATTGCGGCGATACCTGCGGGAAACCAGCTCATGCTGGCTGGGGACCTGAACGTTGTGGAGGATCCTGCGCTGGACAAGACATCGGGAGCGGGCTCAAGGGGGGTAGAACGACAGACTGATGACGATTTGCAGCAGCTTTGATGAGAGGGACGCTTTCAGAGCCCTTCATCCATGCCTGCGGGAGTACATATTCTATGCGGTAGCGGTGCAGGAGAGCACGAGGATCGACCGGATTCTACTCTCGTAGTCGCTGCTTCACCAGGTTCACGAGGTGCGGCACGTGGAGCTGGTCAAAAGGTTCACGGACCACTGGTTCGCGGTTCACCTGAAGCTCAGCGTGGGGGGAGACGGGGAGTCAGGCCCGGGCCTCTGGAGACTGCCGGCATTGCAAGCGCCGCGTCCTGGGGTGCGGAAGCGGGTGGAGCAGATTGTGCGTAAGAACAAAGAGAGAGGAGGGGACTTGGAGTCCCTAACGGCGTCTTTAAGGGTGGGCCTCAAGGCCTACACCGTTGAGGAGCGGAAGCGGGTGGCGGCCACGACGACGCATCTGGTACGGGAAGTCGGGGACCTGAGACAGAGGGTGATGAACAAACCTTGGTGCTCGCGGGCAAAGGCGCAGCTTGCAAAGGGAGAAGCCAAGCTCAAGGCATATGAGGACGGGAGACGCCAGAAACTGCACGAGCAGGCGGGGGTCAAGGTTGAAATGTCTGTCAGACGCCTCCCCCCCAAAGATGCAGAGGAGCTGTGCGCGCCATGGGAGGAAGCGGAGGTCAAGTGTGCGCTGGAGGAGATGGCGCGGGGCAAGACGCCAGGGCGCGACGGCCTCCCGAAGGAGCTCTGGGAGCTGCAGTGGGACCTGCTGGGCGGGCAGGTGATGCAATTTCTGAAGGAGTTTGAGCGGACGGGTGTGTTTCTCAAGGAGTTCTCGACGCCAGTGACGGTTCTTCTGCATAAGAAAGGGGCTAAGGATGATTTGCAGAATTACCGCCCGATCACACTACTCAGTACGGCGTACAAGGTCATCGCGAAAGTACCGGCAAACAGGATAAAACGCAAACTGGAGAAAGTGGTGTCAGAAGGGCAGTTCGGGTTCCTACCTGGCACGAGTCCGGTGGCGATCGCGACTGACGTGATAGATGCGGCAAACTCTGGCCAGGAGGACTGGCTCATGCTTTTCGTCGATTTCAGGAAGGCTTTTGATTCGGTGGGACGGAACTACCTGTTTGACGTGCTGCGGAATATGGGCTTCCTAGAGGCTTATGTGAGATGGGTGGAAGGGTTGCAGCACGAAGGAGATGGTTAGGGTTTGATGTCAAAGGCGCAGGGAAACTCACGTATTTGGGATACCCGAATGATACCACCCTCCTTCTGAAAGATCGGTCGCAGCTGGACGAGGCGGAGAGGCTGCTGAAGGATTTCGAGCGCCAGTCCGGGCTGGCGGTGAATTGGGACAACTCAGTGGTACTGCCGCTTGGGAAGCAGCGTGATCTGCCGCCACCGACGGTTGGGTTGTTCAAGTGGGCGTCGCGGGATGACCCTGAGCGCCTGCTGGGGGTTTGGATCACGCCAGGTGGGGATGCAAGGCCATCGTGGAAGAAGGCACTAAGCAGAATAGAGGCGGAGCTGAAAAAATGGGAGGCAAAATACCTCACCACGACGGCGCAAGTGACAGTGGTCAATTCATACGTCATGCCCATAGCGATGTTTCAGGCACAAGTATACCCGCCCCCAGACGCGACCTGGGAGGAGCTGAGGAGGTTATGCCATGCGTTTGTCTCCGGAGGGAGAGCAAGCGGGGAGCTGGGTTTCATCCTCTGGAGCGGGGATCTGATGTAGTTGAAGAGGGTGGATGGCGGCTTGGGGGTGATAAACCTCAAAGATCGCCTAGACGCGGAGGCGCTCCATGCACTGGCGCTCCTGCTCACGGAAGAAGTGCCGCAGAGGCGAGTGCTGGCGGAAAATGCGGCGAATCTCCCATTGGGGTATGCGTCATTCATCGCGCATGAGTCCCTGTTGAAGGCGTGGGGCTCGAGGAGCGAGCGCTGGAAGGCGATTGTTGCTGCGGTGATGGCCTCGCCGGTCGCCATGAATCTGCCAACTGATAACAGATGGGACACGGAGAAGGAGAGAGTGCTTTTTAACACGCACATCAAGCGGGACGGTGGCTGCCCCTTTGGAAGGCGAAAGGGCTCGGAAAGCCTGCGCGCAATCATGGTGGGAGACCTGCTGATGAAGTGGGTGGACGGCACCAGGAGCTGGAAAGGTCCAGAACGATTGGCGCGAGACCTGGGCAGCAAACAGGCGGCAGACATTGCAGCGGAGATCATTGAGGCACTCCCAAGGGAGTGGAAGGAACGGCTTCTGAAACCTTTAACTGCTGAAGAACTGTTCCAGGCAACCAGAGTTGTGTGCACGACGAGAAGGGGGGTGCAAATGTGGTGGATCCTTCGGACGAGCGGTAATCTGCTGCACGGCGTGAGGATGCGACGAAAAGATGACGGCAAGGCGTGGTGGGTGCCAGAAGGTGCACGACCTAAGGCTTTCTCAGTGTCAGAGGTTACGCCTATGGCGCTGTTGGGCGACGAGGTAGTCGGTGAGCTGGGCGACCCGCGCGTCAGGCTTCTAAAGTCAGAGCTTTGCGTGGGAAGGCTTGCTGCTCCTCTGAGGCAGCTGAGAGTGGGGCTAGAGGCGGGGCACGAGCAACCGTGCAAACCTCTTCGCAGAGAGGAATGGGAGAAGCTGTGGGGGAGGAAGATCGACTGGAAGCGGACTATTGTGCGTAGGGACTCCCACGCAGTGTCCGCAAAAGCACGGGACGTTCTGCCGCGCTCGCACTGCTTCAACCTTCAGGTGGGGGACCGCTTGAAAGTCTTGGGGGACCGGGCGAAATGCCCGCACTACGGGGAAGCGGAGTCAGTGGACCATGCATTATTTTCCTGACGAGCCGTTCAACCCGTGGTGGGTGCCCTCAAAGAAGCGATTCGCTGGTTCAATCCAACGAGGAGGGTGAGGACACTTAGCGATTTGCTTTTTCAGCGTGGGGGCACGGCATCCGGCTTCCCGGAGCTGACTGTGTCGGCAATCGCGTTCCACCAGATCTGGTTGGAGCGCTGCAATGCGGTTTTTCGGGGGCGGAAGTTCCAATGCCGGAAGGTGATGAGGAGAGTCGTGACGACTTTTTGTCTCCATGCGCGGACATACAAGGGCATCAAGCGGAAGAAGGCGTGGGCAAAAAAGAGACACGTGGCCAAGTGTCACCTGGCCAAGGATGAGGTGGCTGTGCTGGAAAATGCCAGCACCCGGACGGTCAGCAAGCTTACATGGCGCGAAGAGTTCCTGTCCGTCTGGACGGATCGGAGGGCCAGATTTAAACCGCCGTAGAATCCCACGAGGGGCGGCTCTCTCACTGTGTGTAATTGCCCCCCTCTCGCAACAGTTACGTCTGTGGCCCCTTTTGCTGTATCCCTGATATATTGAAAAGCCTTCTATTTAAAAAATCCGGAGTGAGGCGGTTAACGGTGCACTGTGTACACATAATGGAGCCTGATTTAGACACGTTTGTACATAAAATTTATCCAACGGGTGTGAGTGAAATTTTTGTCATTGCCCCAACTTAAACTCTAGGCCCACCCTCAGTCCACCTCGATGGCCATAAGCTGCCCAAAACCGACCCTTGCCTTCAGGCAAGAAATAATTACTTCCAACTTGCCATTTGTGTTCGACCTCGACAGAAGCTTCAGTGGTTGCGAGAGCTTACAATTTGTCCAGTTTGTCCTTTCAATTGCGCAGTCAGTAGGTTCAGGGTTAGGAGCCGTCGCACGCTACAAACGAACAGTGCCGGCTTTCGCTGGCGTTCCAACTTCCGAGGCCTGTCCAACAGTTCAGGTGTGTTGAGGTTAGTGATAATCGCATCGATCTGCGACAGCGGTCGGCGATGCGATGCGACAGAGCAGAGCATGCAGAACGCGGCGTAAGATCCGTCACCTTTGGGAGGAACCCACTGTCTGGCGCTGCTACCTCACGGGAGCCGATGTGACAATTCGGACCGACCACAAGTCACTACAGTACATGCGCACACAACCGACACTCAACCCGCGACAAATTCGGTGGTTGGACTTCCTCGAGTCCAATTTCCGGTACACCATCACGTACAAAAAGGGCGCCAACAACATCGCCGACGCCCTAACCCGACCAACCATGCAAAACGCGGCGGTACTAATCGCCCACACTAACCCGATGCTGACGGGACTATTCACCCATGGCTACAAGATCGACAGGTTTTTTCGGAACCCGCAACAACGGGCTGCTACACCGCACGGCAAATACTACCTAAAAGCCGGTACGAACCGGATTTGGGTACTAGCATACCAGCCTTTACGAGAGCTGCTGACGCAGGAGGTTCATAACTCCAACCTTTCCGGGCATTTCGGCACCGATAAAACACTGAAGCTGCTGCAGCGGAATTATTACTGGCCGGACATGCAGACCGATGTACAGCGCTACGTATCAACTTGCCCGACCTGCCAAGCAATGAAGTCGTCGCGACAAAGGCCAGCCGGACTGCTGCAACCCCTCGCGCCACCTAAACGACCGTGGCAACAGGTGACGATGGATTTTGTCACGGGGCTCCCAGCTGGCGCAAGTGGCAACGACTCGATGCTGGTCATCGTCGATCGCCTAACGAAGATGGCGCATTTCGCCCCATGCCGAACGACGATCACAACCGAAGATACAGCCAAACTGTTCATCTCCACCGTCGTACGCCTACACGGGTTACCTTCAGCGATCATCACCGATCGTGATCCGAAATTTACGTCGAAATTTTGGCAAGAAACGTGGGCACAGTACGGTACCCGCCTGCAGTTTTCGTCGTCATACCACCCGCAGACCAACGGACAGACGGAACGGACAAATCAGACCATGGAGCAGCTGATTCGCACCAACTGCCCCGACATTCGCAAGTGGAAAGATTCGCTGCCGATGCTGGAATTCGCGTACAACAACGCCCAATCGGCCACGACTAAACAATCACCCTTTTTCCTGAATTACGGGATAAACCCCGTGGTACCCTCTTCCACGACTGTGGACAACCCGGTACCAAGATCGCAGCAGTTTGTCACGGAACAGCATGTCAGAACATATAGCTTACTTGTTTCTGTAGGCTATAGTGGGGTATCCCATAGGGGGTACAACCCAATTAGGGTTTCCTATTTGTACCCACTTCATTTCATAGTCATTCACTCCCGTTCATTCAGTTTCACATGGTATAGAGCGGGTCCCTTCTAAGGACCGTTTTTTTTGGGCCCACCCACGATCTTTTTTTTCCTGCCCGGAGCGCGCCCTATTCTCCTCGAGGCGCGCTCCCCCTAGTGCGCGTCGAGCTGCCCTTGTGGCGCCCCGAGAGTCGCGCGCGCGACTCATTTTTTTTTTTTCGCGCGCGCGGCCCGGGCCCCACTTCGCGCGGCCCTTACAGCCGCGCCGCGCCGCCCTCTCGGCTCTGCCGCGCCGCGCCGCCCTCAAGACGGCCGCGCGGCCTCTTCGTCGCTACGGCAGGCCCCCCCCCCCCCCCGCTGCACCTCTGTCGGCCCCGCCGCCGCCTTACCTGACGGCCGCCGCCTCACCTGACGGCCCGCCGCCTCGCCCTCTGGCCCGCCACCTCACCAGACGGCCCTGCCGCCTCACATGACGGCCCGCCGCCTCACCTACTGGCCCGCCACCTGACCTGACGGCCCCGCCGCCTCACCTGACAGCCCGCCGCCTGACCTGCTGGCCCGCCACCTCGCTGACGGCCCGCCGCCTCCCCCGCTGGCCCGCCACCTGATCTGACGGCCCCGCCGCCTCACCTGACGGCTCGCCGCCTCACCTGCTGGCCCGCCACCTGACCTAACGGCCCCGCCGCCTCACCTACCGGCTCGCCACCTCACCTGCTGGCCCGCTGCACCCTGACGGCCCCGCCGTCCCCTGTCCCGGCCCCGCCGCTGCACCCTGACGGCCCCGCCGTCCCTTGTCCCGGCCCCGCCACTACACTGCAGCCAAGCCGCCCAGCAGCAGCCGAGCCGCTCAGCAGCAGCCGAGCCGCCCAGCAGCAGCCGAGCCGCCCAGCAGCAGCCGAGCCGCCCAGCAGCAGCCGAGCCGCCCGGTACCCGAGCCGCCCGAGCCGCCCGAGCCGCCCGAGCCGCCCGAGCCGCCCCACCAGCCCGAGCCGCCTGCTGCTGTCCTACCCGACTCTCCTAGCCCGGTGAGACTTTCAGCTGCTGCCATGGCCACCCCCAATGTTCTTACTTTTGACGCTGAGGGGAGGGCCATTGACTTTGCCGTCTGGATTGAAGACCTGCAGCTGTACTTACTGTGTGATGCGATAGATGAGGTCTCTCTCTTTGACTTTGTCTCTGGCGCTGTCCCTGCCCCGCCTGCTGATGCTGACTCTGCTGCTCGCTCCAAGTGGGCGACCCGCGATGCTGCTGCACGTCTTGCTGTGCGTCGCCACCTCCCTTCCTCTGAGCGTGCCCACTTTAGTCAGTGCAAGACCGCTCAGGCCTTGTACGACGCTGTAGTTGCACGCTACTCCTCCCCTTCCTCCGCTACCCTTAGCCGCCTCATGCTACCGTTTCTCTTCCCTGACCTCGCTTCCTTTCCCACTGTTGCTGACCTAGTTACCCACCTCCGCGCTAGTGACACCCGCTACCGTGCTGCCCTTCCTGCTGAGTTCCGCGCTGCGAACCCTCCTCCCATGTACATCACTCTCTACTTTCTCGTCACCCGTCTCCCTGAGTCCCTTCGTGTCGTTAGGGACCAGTTTCTCTCTGTCTGTCCCACCACTCTCACTGTCGACCTCCTTGAGGAGTCCCTGCTAGCGGCTGAGAAGAGTATTGTCGCTGTAGGGGCCTCTCGGGGTGAGCCTCGCACCCCCATCTTTGAGGGGTGTGGTCCTTCCCCCCTGCTGCCCTCTGTCGCCTCTGCCGCTGCGGCCGACCTCGCTGGTTTTGAGTCGGTCGGCGCGGCGTCTGCCCCCAGCGGCAGACGCCGCTCTGGCAAGGGCAAGGGGGGCAAGGGGGCGGGTGGAGCTAGAGGGGGCGGTGGAGGAGGCGGTGGGGGTGGAGGGGGGAGTGGGGGTGGCGGTGGGGGTGGTGGCGGGAGTGGAGGTACTAGTGGCGGCGGTGGAGGCGGAGGTGGCGGCGGAGGTGGTAGCGGAGGAGGCGGTGGGAGCGGTGGGAGCGACGGTCCTGGTGGGGGAGGTGGCGGTGGAGACGGGGGTGGCGGTGGAGGCGGGGGTGGCGGGGGTCGGAGTGGCTCGTCCCAGCGGAGCAGCTCTGGGGGTGGTCAGCGCCAGCAGCAGCAGCAGCAGCAGCAGCAGCAGCAGCCGCAGCAGCAGCAGCGCTCTCGCAACGTCCCCGGCCCTCAGCAGCTCCGTGAGTGGTACTTGCAGCGTCAGCGCGGTGGTGCGCTTGGTCCCTGCCCCTACGTTCTTCGCACCGGTGACCGTGCGGGGGAGAGGTGTGGAGGCGCCCACACAGCCCGTCGCTGCTTTGGCCGCCTGACCGACGCCTGGCGTCAGCAGTTTCCGGAGGCCGCTGAGATCCCCCGCTGGGGAGAGCTGTCTAGGGCTGGAGTAGCTATTTATGATCTTGACTTTGATGCTATTCTCTCTACTATGTATGCTGTGACTGGTAGTGATGAGGATGACTGTTACCGGTGTTTCCCGCCCGACCCGGGCATTGGTACTGCCGCGTCAGGTACTAGTGAGGCTGCAGCTCTAGGTGCCAGTGCGTCTGTGCTCTCAGGTGCTGGTGAGTCCGCCCTCTCAGGTACTGTGTCGGCTTCGGCCTCTCACACCTTCACCCTTGACTCTGGAGCGTCTCGCTCCTTCTTTAGGGACCGCACCACTCTCACGCCGCTGAGTCGGCCGGTTGCGGTGTCCCTGGCTGACCCCTCTGGGGGAC